TTTTTTAACTGGAGATAGGCTTAAAAAAATTCACCCAAAACTATTATAACTTTCCTTTAAGATGGTGATAGGAGATCGAGGGGCATCAAAGACAAGGTAATACGTGACCTTAGGCCCAGCTGTGACAGCTTATTTGGCTGGAGTAGCCCAGTGGTACACTCTCATGTAATGATTGCCAGACTCCATGATTTCAACCTAATGGCATTATATAGAAATGCTATTCACCATAATATTCTATCATTCTTGCTGTCTTATGCCTAATTTAATTGGTTTCATGGCATTTACTGTAATGGGCATTTACTTTTGTTTGACCTTAATTACTTCAGTATGTTTAAACCCAGTTTTCAGATAATGCTGCTATCATTCTAGTGGAGGGGACAGAGAGATTTTCTGCCATGAAATCCCCAATGACTCTTGCCTCTCCTGGCCTTCAGAAGGTCCTGGAGCAGAAAGACAGAAAAGAATAGGCGAAAGGACACATGAAAGGGCAGACAGGGCATCAGGATAGAAAGGGTTAGGAAAAGGGGGGTGTACAGGGGGTGGTCTCTTACCTTTGTTTGGCCAATTAGGTGTGTCAGGAGGAGTCTCCCTGGTGGTCCAAGAGGGGGCGGAGGGTTAGCCAGCAGTTCAGGGTTGCCACACGGTGAGATCAGTTCCCACCCTCCCTCCCTTGTCTCCTTTCTTGTTGGAGTCACATTATCTGTGGTGCTGGTGTGGTGTTGTCTGTTATGGTGATTTATGTCGGGCTGGTCATGACTTCGGTTGGGCGCATCCTTGGTACGCAGTCCTGGGAGCTTGCAGGTTCCACAGGAGAGAGGTCAAAAGACTGAGGGTAGGAGCTCTCTGAGGTTTATGTACTATGTTGTCCCTGAGTCGGTGAGTTGCGGCTAGGGGCCAGTTGGTTAAGTGGTATGCAGAGCTCTACGGTAGGAGACCAAGGGTGTCTTCACAGACCTCAGCCACATTGATAGGAATACATTGTATTTAAACTGTTATGGTTGAATGTTTTATATTCAATTTGTTATAAAGTTATTATATTTAAATAAACGGCTGCTACAGCCATTTTATATCCAACTTGGTGTGGTCTATTATTGGGTACGGGTAATTAGAATGGGATAGGGCTGTAGTAAGCTATGTTAATAGTATAGCTTATGTCTTACCCTGTCATGGCATTAGAGCACCTCCATTCTGCCCCCTACTTGCAGGAGAGCCCCCATACAGCTCTATGGTGATCAGAGGTTGTCTGGACACAGTCATCAACCCAAAACTAGGTTCAGTTTGTCTGATTGAGGGTATTGTAGCAATGACCTGCAATGTATTCACCAGCCTCCTTTTACTATAGATCTGAATGGGCCCTGTTCTACATGCTCTAACAGTAGTCAGAACACTAATGTGCCAGACTAACAGAGGCATCTTTGCTCCTGCCAACTTGGCTGGAACCAATGTTGCCCACTTTTCCAGGAATCCTACACAGCAGATGTTATTTCCTGAAGGATCTTTGCCACCAAACACAGAACAATGCTGAACAGCTTCCAAGAGTGCATCCAATACGCACAACTTACTAGTTGTAGGTCAATTCATGCTGCTTTAGTGCCCATACCAGTAGTGATGGATATAGTTCAACTACCGCCCAAGTACAAGCACCTATTTATAGATAGATAGATAGATAGACAGAACAGTAGTACATAACATACAATTGGTGTCTGACCGTGATTACCCATTCTCTTCCAGTCTAAATGGTGTCAAGAGGAAATGGAAGAAGCATGCTACATATCTCAATGACAGTCAGGCAAGAAGTGAAGGAGATGCTCTCTGCTGGACCCAACAGGAGTGCTACAAACCAGAAGCATGCTTGAAGGATGCCTCCTGTCCTAGAAGTCAGTATTGCCCAGGCCTAAGTGACAGGAAATGGGTTTCTAGAACCCACTTGAGTTGTATCTCTAATATAGATGGACCCTCAAAGTCCCAGTGAGCCCTTATGTGGGTCTTCAAATGGTATGTCCACACCCCTGCACTAACTACAGAGCAGGGCACAGACAAATTTCCGTTAGGTTTATTCCATGCACTAGCACACACTCAGAGTCACTGACTACTCTGACTTCCCATAACACGTCTGTGATAGTTGTACTATGCTTTGTGTGGGGACATCTGGCCCAAAATGGACTGCTGAAAGCTTACCCTAGCTGGGGGCCACCATAGTTTGATAGCCCAAAAGTCAAATGCTAGGCAGACTACCATGCAGAGGATCTTGTCTCCTGCACTGCTACCCACCTCTTCGAGCATTCCATTGTGTTCAGCCTTCTACAGCTCATGCCTCAGCATCTATTTATTAATGGCCATGCAGCTGATCCCAAAGATTTTTCATGCCATTCTTAATGTCACTGGTCAAAGGCACTGGGTGCTAACCTCGTATACAATGTTACCACTGAGCAAGGACCCCATTTGCCCCTTTAGCCAGTTGGCGATCTAGGCTCCACTGCCGAGCAGCATAGTCAGATTCTTGCCTCCAACAAATTTTGTCAGGGATCCACCCCCAGTTGGTTGACTAGGAAATAAAAGAACAGTAGCACACTAAACAGACTATACTCTAGTAGTCTCTCCTCCTGTGAGCATGTTTTTTTTTGTAACTCCGATAAAGAGGATTTTGGGGCCCCTGAAATGTGTTGGCTGTCTTTTTTTTCTGTTCTTACTTGCAGGATTAAAAAAAAATACCATTCTGAACTCTTACAAAGTTTGTTTGGAACTTTCTTCGGCTGAAACACATACCTGACTTCTCAATTTGGGTAACCTCAAGATTGAAGGGGAGCTCCTATTTTATAGAAAGCTGGTGAACACAGGCCATTTAGCAGTATCGAGAACTTCTATTTCTATCATTTTGGGATTCATATCCAGCTCCTCGCTTCCACCATTCTTTAGCAATAAAAGGCATACAGGGCCTCTAGCCTCTTTTAGTCTAAAAGAAAGATTTTTATGCTGTTGTGGATTTTCCATCACTTCCTATCTGGTGAAATGTTTCTCACTGTGAAAGTGAGAGGACATCTCTCATGGAGCCCAGATTGCAGCAAAAGGGCTTCTAAACCTTCTAAACTTTATCTGTTCTATCCAAAACTATATATTATAGATGCATGATAATAATTCCATCCTAAACAATACATATGTTGTTTGCTTTATAAATAGCCCTCTCTGGAATATAACAATCTCACATAATCCAGGAGATTTCTTTATTTAAACAATATAAACATCAAATCTCAATGTATTTGTACGGATTAGGCAGCTACCAGGCTGCACCAGACACAGAGTTATGGCTTCCCCTTCCAGGTATGGTATGCCGCCCCCTCCTGCTCTCGATATATTTACAATGAGGGTAGGTGTGATGACACCACCCCATATTCACAAAGGCTTTAGCATCACAATGGTCACGTAATTTCATCAGTGCTGGTCTACTATTAGATGTGACATAGACAGACATTGCCCGTAATTTAAAAGATCAGCAGTGCATTGTACAATTAACCTGACATGTCTTCCAGGAATTATCCATTTATCCCTCTCTATGGCCTCAGCAGAGCAGTTCCATAAGCCCTGCCTTCCACCAAAACATTGTCTATGAGCTTGTTCTACTCCAACGATGGCACACCTTTGTTCCATTAGCTTTGTCCATACATCTGCTAAAGGGATACAATGGGTTCTTCACTTCCTTCCGCTTTCAGAGATTGACAGTTGTCAGTTCTTCTTTCAGTCTCGTTAGTGGCCATACTCCTACCAGTGCACAGAACACGTGGATTGTGTGCGGCACAAACTGCACAACACGTCATTGTGGCAATTTGCACAAAATGTTAAGGGAACAAAGAGTACCATATAGGGTGTTATAAGAAGGGCTCTTTAAACACACAAAATACTGTGTGTGTGTGTGCACTCATACTCCCACAGTCACTTTGCACATGGTAGACAAACACACAAGGTACACAATGCACGCATCCTTCCATGGCCAATATATTCTCATCTGATGCAACCTCGCAGACACTATTGAGGTACACTTCTCATCCTATAGAGTTTTTATTTTTATTTTACCTATATAGATCTCTCTTGAGCTTCATGATATAAAAAAAAAAAAGATACCGGTGCCTTCACGATTTCAGGTTTTTCTATCCTTCCATTACCATGCTTGTAAATTCCATGGTGGTGGAATAAGTTTCAATGTTTAGAGGCTTCATTATATTTGCTTTGTAAGAACTTAGAGGGATGCCAATATTGCTTCAGCTAAACATTAGATCTTTGTACTCTTGCTTAAAGAGTAATTATTCTCATCTAGTAATTATTCAATGACTTAAATGGCTTTGGTACATCTAATGTTGAAGGTCCTGAATGGAGGTCATGTGTGTAGAGTTGGACAGCAGCATCCAGGGAGGGTTCAGATGGCAGCAGATAACCATTGTGACAGTTGGCCTAAAAGCACCCCAGGGGTGATAGTGGACTAAGTCTATGTAATGCGTGGCTCTGTCATTGCCTGGAATTAACAGATAATGCAATGTATGAAGATCAAGAATCATTTTAATGCACACTTGATAAGTATGATTAGCAGGGTGTGGAGAATTAATTACAATGTTGAGTATTAACATGAGATCACACCCTTCTCGTACCCGAGGTATTAAAATCTGGAGCGGTGAAGTATTTTGGGCAGGAGGCTGAAATGTAAAACTCTTTTTGTTGTTCTCCACTCGGGAAGATTTTTTGTTCCAGTTGCAGGGAATAACAGTGGATGTGGAACACTTAAATTGACATTTTGGGTGGGCTTGTCCTTGCTGCCCTTCTCTATAGTATAATTATTGTTAGATGCTAATTTCTCACACCATACAGATGGTTTCCTGGTGTGTCATTAATTTTGGTTCTTTTATAGGTCTAGCAGTTTGGAATTAGGGATTACATAGTGTAAACTGTATTTCTCGTGTAAGATGGCCACACACACCTGGGCCTACCCATTTATTGTGGAAATATATCTTATCCCATATCAAGAGAACTAGATATGGCTTAGATGGCTGTAGTTGAGACACGTAATACATACTATTGCCTAGCATGGTGTCCATATGGTCCATGATGGACCTCTACTGAAAACCTCCAAAAGACACAAGAGTACAAGACACTTAAGCATGACAATAGTGATACCAGTTACACTTGTGTTGAATCCCAGTTGGTCTTTAATGGAACCTAAACTCCAAAGTGTGGTCTGCTTTATTCAAACAGGGAGGTATCAGGGAGGTAAAATAGGGTCTGTAACCCTGCTCTTAGCAACCTGTGATGTTCTGGCAGGCATCCTGCCCAGCCCACTGATGTCACTGGTTGCCAGGAGCTAAGTGGGACGCTTTGGCTGGTATCCCAGTTAGCTCCTGGCAACCAGTGATTTTAGTGAGCTGGACCAGACGTTGTACACCACAAGCCCCCCCGGAATGTCCACCACGAGTAACCATCCCTCCCAACCATCCCCTCCCTCCCGGAAAGAGCATTACAAGCATTCCCCCATCTGCGGATGCCCCTGTTGACAATACTGCTTCTGATGCACTAAAATCTCGGGCAGTGTTGTCAAAGGCTTTGGTATGGTGGGCCCAAAAAGTATCATACCTATTCCATAGATGTAATACTTTTTTTTCTCCCCACTTAAGAGAAATTATTAGCTCAAAACAGCTGTATGGCGGTTGGTACATGGTTCTTTTTTAGCCTGTATCCATGTTTAAAATCAGCAGGTCTTCTTTTTGATATGGACTTGTTTGCCCACAAATTATAAGATCAAGTAATTTGTCCTCTCTGGATGGGTAACTCCAGCACTACATGGGTACCTGTTAGGGCTTCTAAGTTGGATCATCAAAAAAAAGACCTTTTCGTGGTACTTACTAGCATTGTAATATGATAAATGGCATAAGTGAGATCTCAGTAGACCAGTACTCAGAAATCACAGAAATGGAATCAGACTACAACACTGGCTCATTTTTAGATTAAAGTTCCTCGGGGCTGGCTCCTCTTACCCTCAAATGTTCTCCAACGGCAGAAAGACCGTTCTGCTATTGTTATTCATAGATCATCCCAGAAAAAGTTTGCCCACTTGTCCCCCTGTATGTAACAGCCTTCATCCTTTGCTATCTGTAGGTCATTAGCTCAATTATCAGCAGTACACACCTGCAACCTAATCAAGAATTGTTAAATTGAATGTTAAGGCTTTTCTCTGACCTACACTACACCATTGTCTGTTTACTAATGCCTTAGATATTGGTCTGTCTGTCTCTGACTTCTATCTTGCAGTTCATGCCCTGAATAATTCCTGAATATTGTGTCTATACTAAGATTGTCTGTGCATGTCCTGATTATCAATTGTTAATTCTGCTATTGCTTCATTTCTTCGTATGGAACCTGGACTTCCAGAGGCATATCTACTATAAAATGTGCCTATGGCACCCTGCCCAGCTCCTGGCAACTGATGACATCACTGGTTGACAGGAGCTGGGCAGGAGACTCTGGCCAGTGACCCGGTGAGTCCCTGGGGACCAGTGATGATACTGGCTGCCAGGAGCATGGCGGGACAGCTGCCAGAGTGAAAAAAAGTCAGCTGCCTCTGTGGGTTAGAGAAAATTTGCTCCTTAAAGTGGCACCCCCAGTGCATGTTCCATATGTCCCATGCCCTGGATTTCACTGCTTGGAAATCAGTCTGCTACTATCTGTGTATTCTCTGGCCATCTCTTTGAGTGCTTATGCTGGTCTGGAATATGCCCGACACATCTGGTAACACAGAGGGTCTTTAGAACTGTTACATCCCCATTTCCAACTATGGCCTGGCCAGAGGCTCTAATGATGGTTAGCCTAAAGCTTGTCTTTTCTATATACTGTATGTGCTAGAAGAATCTCATGCTCCAGTTTGAAATGTAGAAGAACCTGAAGATGGTTACTGAGATGATCTGGTATTTTTTGTTGACTGCAATGAAAAAAAGGCCAATTAAGTAATCCCTTTACCTAATCTTTAGATACCAGGTTCTTCACTGTACAACAATAACACACAAGACAAGAAGGAAACATGTCTTATATCTCCTGACTCTGTCCATCTATCTTCCATTTTATCCCTAAGACTAAGCCCCAGCCACTACCAAATCTCATACTGAGCTTGATTGTCTCTTGCTGTTTTTGTGTGTGTGAAATAGTGTGACAAGAACCGTCTACTACATGTATGAAAACCCAAGCTGTGGTAGTAATGCTACATTCCCAAAAGTCAGCTGATACATAAGCACATACTGGAGTCCTGCTGACTAAACATCACTGCGTGAGGATTACTGACAGCTATTAGGGACCACTAGCAATTAACAAATTAGGTGGCAATTACCTAGGTGCTTCTGATGATTAATAATATGGCGTTACGGCACTGAGTGAGAGATGCTCCCAGTGCATTGTGTGAAGACAACCATAAACAGTGCATTTAGAAAATGACCGCACAGCAATGCTTTTTTAAGGTTTGTCTTTAATGATCTGACCCTGTCTGATTGTCTAGGGGAAAGGACTGACAGGAGCAAAGGGCTCTGTGTAGGCATGTAATAGGCATGTAAGACAGAGCACTCATTTAAGACCTTGCAATTTTTGGCAATGGTACAAATTGGTACAGGACAGTATGTTTTGGTGCTGATAATTTTGTCACATAAGTGCCATCCTGATACACTAAGGGGTTAAATATTAAAAGTGGGCAGATACCACTAGCACTCCTAGATGGCACTGGGGAGTATAGGAATTTCTAGGGATGCTAGTGCCGTGCTAACAGCATCCACCCCGCTATACACCGAGTTCTGGGGACAGTTTCGTTTTTGGGGGTAACTATTTAAAAGGTAAATTTAGAAACAGGCTTAGGGTCAAAGGTTAAATGTAAGGGTTATTTTAATGGTTAAGGGTAGGAGGAGGGATATGGCTAAGTGGCTTGGGTTAAGTGTCAATTTTCAACTAGGTAAGCAATTAGTGGTTCATTTGAAGACTGAGATTTGAGGGTGAAGTGTTCATTTTCAGGGTTAGATTGGGTTAACGTTTAAGTTGTTTAGGATGCCAAAATGTGTTAAGGCCCTTTTCACACCCATGTGTTTTAATAGGTGTACACAGGTTACCCAGCCTTTTAAATGTTGGTAGTTCACCTAGTAGGGCCTAGTAGCACTTGTCCATTTTAAGGCAGCCAAACCCGTGTATTTCGCTGCATCAAAATGCATTTCAAGTAGAAATCGTATAATTTCCCATGGGACTAGTTCAAATCTATGCGATGCAGTTTAGTGTGAAACAATCTGTAAGATTTTAACTAGCTCACGTTCCCTGTCTAATAGCTAAGTACATGAGAATTATTTATACAATTAGATACATTACGATGAAACGGATCGGTTTTTAATATATGGCGATGTTATGTATCTACTGAGTGCTTAGAATAAGTCTTTTAGATGAAGACTCCTACCATAGGTTCCTGTAATATGTTTTATGCTCCACTTTCATTCTGGTGTCAGATTATTACTAAGAGCCCTCCTTCCTTGCATCAGGACCAAGCCCAGCCCTTTGAGCTAAGTTCTGATCATTCACCACCACCCTCGCTGTCTAATTAGCGCACACTTATTGAAACTGAAGTGCTCCCCCTGGTCAGGGGAGTTGTTGAAAGGCATGGCTTAGCTGCAGGGGTGGGAATTTGCTCAAACGTCAGGGAAATCAAGACCTTGGTCACAAGCTAAAACCAAAAACTCAATTTTGCAAATGGTCCTGAACCTCAACTACCTGGGAGGCCAGCCAAGCATGGGGCGCATAAAGTGCACCAACACATTTTATAATTGCAGGAAATTATCTTTCCAGTTCTATTGGAAATGTTGACAACTGTAAATGAATTATGATATTAATTAGAAAAGGAGGTCAGCAGAACAGTAAGCTTTCTTCTTTCATTTCTGGACCTGAAAGTTGGAAGCTGGTTGCTTTGTACATTTAACTTATTATGGGCAGGGGTAGACACTGTTGTAACTTGAGGAAGGCGGCAGTTGCAGCTTTCCAAGTCGAGGAAAAATATTTAAAACATGTCCTGAAAGTGTGTGGGAGCAAGTAAACTTAATTTACAGAACATGTTATTAACAAAATTGCCACTGTTCCAATTCAATGTGAAAAAAGCAGGGCTGAATAATGCCGGTCTATATTAAAAATGCAGTATGGCTTATTTTATTCGGGGGGTGGCTGTGCTATGACAAGCTCAGGGCCCAAGACGCAAATATCCCTAATTAAGCAGAATTACAGTTCTCTTTGGGGCAAAGCTGCAAATAGAACCTAATAGCTAAAACTAAAGGCTTAAGTGGGGCACCCTATGGTCTTCACTAAAAGAGGCCTGGGACCTGGCTCATGGTGGAGAAGTGCGAGACAGAATTTTGAACCCTTCTCCAACCTAAGAATAAAAAGGTGTTGGGTTTAGAGGCCATGTGGCACCAGTAAATCTGCAAATCTATAAAATGTCAGCTCAACTGACATCCAATATTTGAAGATGGGCAACTCCCCAATAACCTTCCTTGTATCTGAAGAAAGAAATGTTGCACATAGTAACCAAATAGGGCCTCCTGTACTGAACCAAAAATGCAAGGAAGCGTTGGACTGGTTGCTATGTACAAAAGAATCAGTTCTTCGCTTATAGACTCTGGGGGGGGGATTTATCAAAACTGGAGCAGACAAAATCAGGAGCAGTTGCCTATGGCAACCAATCATCTTCCTTCTTCAGTTTGTTCAGTTAAGGTTTGAAAATTAAAGGTGGATGCTGATTGGTTGTCATGGGCAACTGCTCCAGCTTCTGTCTGCACCAGTTTTGACAAATTCCCCTCTTTATATATGTGATGAGGTCCAACATGTCTCCACGCACAGTCCATTCTCACTTGTGCACACCACATCCACTCACGCCCGGCAACCCTCACTCTAGTCAGATCTCAGTGGCTAATATGTCCTGGAAGGAGATCTCCATATCAGGCATAGTCATGATGGGCCCGTCGTCCAGGTCCTCTCCACTCAGAGCCCTCAGCCTTTGCTCCAGGGCCTGGCATCGCTGGCACATGTGAAGGTAGTTTTGCTGCAGCTGACGCTGGTACCGAATGACCTTCTCTTTCTCATCCCGCCATGTTTTCCTCTCCCTCTGGAACACATCGGTCATCTGCTCATTGTTCTGACGCTCTGCCTCGAGCTCTGTACGTAGGGACTCCAGCTCAGCTTCTGTTGCCACTGTATCATCCCGATCCTCCCTCTCTACTTCTGCTACACGCAATCTTTCCTCTGCTTCTCTTGCCCGCTGCTCCTGGCCCTCTGCGCGCCCTTTTGTCTCCCGAAGTTGAGCTTTCAAGCTTAGAATTTCACTGGCGCGTAGAGACGACTCTTCTTGGGTATCCCGTAACTGCTGACGTAGGGAAGCAATTTCCCCAGATTTCTGGCATACCTGTATGAAATATCAGTACAACAACATTACTGGCACTGGAAAACCTAAAGCTATATCTCTGCGACAACATCAAGTCATCTACATAACAAAGATTTTAAAGCTGAACTCCAGGCAAACAGATAAATATACATATTAAATACATTTATAAGAGCCATTATATCCACAAAAGCTTTTGAATTTCTGTCCATCCAGTCCTGAAATTTCCTCAGTCCCAACAGACAGCAGAGCTAGGTTAGTGACCTGACTTTTCTCTACTGTAGTTAAGCAATAACACTAGGTCACCTCCCCACCCATGGCCAGTGATTGTTCAATAGAGGCATAGCACCAGCACAGTGATAAGTCATCCTTCTGTTTACTCTGATTTCTCTTCTTGTCATTACATCCTCAAAGTTTTCCATAGGGCTGTCTATCTTTGTCCCTGACCTTGGGACACAAGGTGAAGAGTAAGACTTGCTGCATTGGATGTATTCAAACACTGGCCATTTGTCAGGTTAGGTCAGGGCAAAAGGATAAGTTCACTTTGCCTCAAAGTGCAGTCAATTTTTAAGAAGATGAATGTGTTGGAGGTGGACAGTTCCAGTGCTATAGTAATCAAAATGGATATGTTCATATATGAGGCCCACAGGTTCTATGGCAATCATCCTTTTATGGCAGCTGTATTAAAAAATGTTGCCGTCCTCAAAACCATTTCATGATAACTCAATTAGGATTTATAAAAAGGTGTCATAAGGGAGTTCAGTGCATTCCTAATGCCCCAACTACTCTCTGATACAATATATAGATGAGCACCCACAGGAGCACTTACTTTCTTCCCCCTAAATTACATGAAAATGACGGTGAACCGAATCACCTGTCCACATTAATGGAACTGGTTCCCACTCATTGAGGGTGCCTCAGCATGGCCGCAGAGGATGTATGACAGCTTCTGTATATGTTTATCCCAAAAGCATAACTCTTATGACACATTGGATATATTAGACAGGTTAGGAAAAAGATAAACCTGTCATTTTATGATATATATTTGCATTATGTTTCTACAGGTGAACTTCAGGCAGATGTTGAAAATAATCACCATTTATGAAATGGTTTTTGCATACAACTGGTATGCAGATACTAAGTGCTAGAGTCTATCTTTGTATTAACTTCATGTTATCCTCAGCACATCAGCACTCATACTGGGAGTCAGTTAGTGCTGTCAGACTAACAATGTGTACATGCTTGCAGGAGGGGGGAGCACAGGGATGAGCTCATCAGTGTGCTGCTGTCTAATCAAAGGAAGGTGAGTCTTTGACCAGAGTGTATTTGTTAGCTGCTGTGTAGTCTCATGTGTAGTCTCATTGTTTTGCTGGCTGGAGTCACAAGACTGCTTGAACTCCTGCCATGAGTTTATTTATTTTTTTAAAGTTTTTGATAGAGTGGGAAAGGGATAGTCAGTTTTCTCATTGCTAGTTTCATTTTGCATCGCTATTTGTATTGCCTACTGGGGAAATTCCAATGCACATCCTCTCCCAAAGACAATGCTGGAAATAAAGCAAATTCTCCCCAACAGGTATACAAGGGGTCCCCAAAAATTCCCCTAATTTCCTGTGTTTGTTACCACACAAGAAGGGGAACTCTCCCCAAAAGATGCCAACAAGGAAAACTTGAAAGATGTCTGACCCTTCCCAGCTTTCCATATATCACAGACAGACATAAATCCCTTTAATTAGTCTCATGGCTTACAGTTTTGGGGCATGCAATGCTGTCTCACCTACCCACTGGTCAGCTTTTCCTGTGGTGCTTTGAAATGCCTTCCCAGGGCGATCCCCATAATAAGGCAGCCTGAGGCGGTTGCCACAGGCGGCATCTTATTGGGGGGTGGCCGTGTGGGGGCTCTTAGCAACCTGTAATGCTCTGTGCGGCTTCCTACCCAGCTCACTGGCATCACCGGTTGCTAGGAGCTGAGCGGGATGCTCTGGCTTGTGCACCGGTGAGCTCCTGGCAACCAGTGATGTCAGTGAGCTGGGTGGGACACCTGACTGAGCCTCTGATAGTGTGGTCTGGCATCGCCCCCCCACAACAACAAATCAACACAATAACCGTGCACCCCCTCCGCGTGACCATTCTCTGCCAACACCACCCAGGTGGCAAATACCTTAGGGACAATGTCAATACAAGCCACATCCCCTGCAACATTTTTTCATCCCATTGTTCTGCAAGCAGGCACAGCCTACATGAGGGCGAAAACTTTGCTCTGACTTCAGGAGTAGTGCAGCATTGTTGCCACTCCATTACAGGAAGCGGCAATAGGTGGATGGAACTTTATTGGCTGATCAACAGGTATTTGTGCAACCTTCCAGGGGGACTTAGAAAACTGTAAGGGCAGATACACTTATATTCAAGAGCTGCAGTACATATTTTTAATAGGGGTGTTCTGGTTTTACTCTTACCTCCCATTGTGTTTCATCCATAGACGGGCTAATAGTGATCTTCTTCTCCTTGTCATAACCTCGCATCTTGCTTTCCATGGGTTCTCTATCTGTTAACTGGATAGAAAGCATGTGCTGTGGTCTCTGGCCCCTCTGAGAGCTTTGCCTTGACCTGGAAATACCTCCTCGGTGACCTTCATCTGCATTTTCACCAGGCTCCGCTCTTGTCATCTCGTCACAGGATGGAGGAGATCGTAGACCTGGCTTTGTGGGTACACTGAGTATCTTACTGGCATTGCCGCCATCTGACAAAGACATAGCCCTGAGGCTCAGCATGTTGCTCCTAGAGCTCTGGGTGATGTTGTGGGCACTGCCTCCAAACCGCCCTGTTGGCATGAGTAGAGCATCCAGGTGGCATGCAGTGCCCAGCTTGCTGGGATGAGTGGGAAGGCTAGACATTGAGTTCCTGCCAGACTGTGACATGCCATCTACACAGTGCCCACCCCGACTCTCTGCCTCCCGGGCCCGGTTTGGCTGATAGTAGAGAGAAAGTTGTGGCCCACTTTCTACAGCTGGATAACATGTGACGGCTGAGTTCCTGCGCATGCCAGGCTTCAGTGGTGACGGGCGCAGGGCATTCATTTCCTGTGGGAAAATGATAACATAAGACTTTTTAGACACCAGGTTTGTTTAAGCCTTGTTTAAAACTATTGCTTTACCATTTCTTGCAGCTAGGTATCACAAATGGCCTGTTTATAGGCCTAAACTACATGATGTTCCAAAAGCATAATCTGCATATAATATACTGTAAACCATTCTTAATTATTGGGCTAATATTATTTAGTGAACAAGAAATAAACAATGTGAAGTTTAGGTAAATGTAGAAACCAAGAACTTCATTCAAAAGATCAGGTTCTATAATTATCTACCCAACGTGATTCCAAAGAACCGTGCAGGGAAAATGCAGTTACTAGCGATGGTAAAAATGGATGGCCAAAACTGTACTTGTGATCAAGTGACTGTTGCAGCTCTGGTACTCATTTCAAACATGGAGCTACAGAAAAAAGTAAGGTTCCAAGGTTTTAAGTGCAGAGAGATTCACAATGCAGCCATGGTAGTGGGATGGGAAATGCCTGTTCATTTGACCTGTGCAATAGAGCCCTAAATGTAAGTCTATGTAAGGTCCCCCGAATTGTACTACCAAAGCCTGCTCAATATCCTCAGGGTACTAACAGGTTTAATTTAAAATAGACATGCAGGAAAAAT